ATTCATGTCCTGATCGGAGATGGCTGGAAGCCTGCTGATGTCAGCGTAGTACCTGTGGAGACAGCCAGGGGGCGATAGTCAATACCCAAAATCAACTTTGTGTGAGAGCTTGTTTGTATTACTGAATTATTAACATTGTATGAAGGAAAAGAGAACTATGGGTTTTAGTTTGTTACAATACTACAAAAACAGAGATAAGATTAAAATATTGTTAATACAATTAAATTTTTTACCTTTCTACCCAGTTCTTGTAGTTAGGGATATCTTTAGCATAAAGCAGCTTATTAGAGGGCGAGTCTTTGCCCAATCTGTGTTCAGATGTGGAACACGAGTCCATGAAGGTTTGAGCCACCACAGACAGACACGCATCCGTGATGCTGCTCTTGTGGATGTCAAAAACAAACTGGGGATTCTTGATCACATTCACCCAGAAACGCAGAGGAAGGCTGCGGGGGATTGATAGATACACAAACACAGAAAAAGAATGGTTGCATTGGTTTGTATTGCAGGTACCGGGTAAAAACAACTGTCATTTTCGTTCTTGAGGTTAGGTAGTCTTCTCACCAGTTGCTTTTCCAGGTGTGACGGACGTCAGTGTCATGGATGCTGTGCTTGTCCGCTTGTTCATCCAGGAAGTCAAACATGTATTTAATAGCTAATGGAAGCGCGCTGCCTCTGTGGACCGTACTGAAAAGAGTCTCGAACAGGTCATCCACGAATTTCTGTAGCGTCCCCTAATTGACAAAAGAAAGACAGACTGTTAAACAAACAAGACATTAAGAACAAATACAAAGGAACCAATCTACACACTTTTGTAGCATTTCATTTGTTTTGCACTTGGAAGTCCACCCATAATGTCAGTCAAGATTTTAGTTCTCCATGACCATTTTCATTGTGAACATTAGAGTGTCAGTCAAGTAGATAAGACTCGTAAAATATCAATGAAAATCCTGTTTTCCATGGTTTCTTTAAAAAACAAATATATCTTAAGGGCAGAGATTATTTTAAAGGTGAAGTGTCTAATTTCTGTGCTTCTAGTGACAAGTTTTCCCAGCAATCAAGGGGAGTGTTTGCCATTGGTCAGATAAAGAGAAAGCCCCACCTCAAACTCACACTATTGGTTGTGCTACTGTAGGGCTGGTCAGGCTGCGCAAACAGAATAATGTTTTAAAAGCGGCAGTTTTTAGTGAAATCAGTCTACAAACTTTAATATATATATATATTTATATATTAATATATATATATGTGTGTGTGTGTGTGTGTGTGTGTGTGTG